GTGAGATCATGACCTGAGCTGAAATCACCACCTTAACTGACTGAGCCACACAGGTGCCCCAGTATAGGAGCCTTCTTCTTAAAAAAAAAAAAAAAAAAAAAATTTTTTAATGTTTATTTATTTTTGAGAGAGAGAGACAGAGACAGAAGGCGTCAGGGTAGGAGCAGAGAGAGAGGAAGACACAGAATCCAAAGTAGGCTCCAGGCTCCGAGCTGTGAGCACAGAGCCCAATGCACGGCTCAAACTCATGAACCGCAAGATCATCACCTGAGCCAAAATCCACCTCAACCTACTGAGCCACCCAGGTGCCCCAGCATAGGGGCCTTCTTACACAGCTTTTAAGCTTGTCCCCAAAGTTTTATCACCAAAGCTTTCTCTGTGCTTTGCTAATATGTTTGCAAATCAACTCTCGACCAGTTGCTGAGTTAAGATTAGGCCAATAGCTGTTAATATTGATGTTGGTTCTCTAACTGTTCTTAAAAATTTGTTTTTTGTTTTCATTTTGCAAATCAGTCTTCCTGGTTTCCAGCTAATTACCATCACTTAAATCAACATAATGCGTCACATGCTTCAAATCTTGGTCCTTAATCATTCCTCCAAAACGACTCACATAATAGTAGTCATTTTCTCTTCCCATTCATTTTCTAAAGCTTACTTTTGCTTATCCCTGTTCTTTCTTATTAGCCCTTTTAATATATATACATTTTTAAATGTTTATTCATTTATTTTGAGAGATATGAGCACATGTGTGAGCAGGGAAAGGGCAGAGAGAGAGGGGAGAGAGAATCCCAAGTAGGTTCCGTGCTGTCAGCTCAGAGCCCCCACATGGGGCTCAATCCCACAAACCTTGAGCTCATGACTTGAGCTGAAATCAGGACTCGGACACTCACCTGGCCGAGCCACCCAAGTGCCCCTTATTTATTAGTCCTTTTAAAGCTTCCACTGTTTTTGGCTTTAACAGACAAATTAAAAATGGGATTAAAGTTAAATTAAAAGGGATTAAAAATGTTCATAAAACACCTCAAAACAAGGCACAAACATACCACAGACCAATAAGGCGATGTCAAAACAAAAATGATTGGGCACAAGTAAAGGCTATTCTCTAGTGACAGGCAGAGTCTTTTTGTTCTGATTTGGTGCTTTGTAGGAACCCATGAAACTTAGTAGATTGAAAATTTATGAGCAGAGGTGTTTATTTAATTGAATTGCAATAATAAAAGTTTATTATTTCCCAGTAGCTGTGGTTTCCCAATCTACTAGATACTGAGGCATCCGTCTCTATAGACTTGATCATTTGATCACCTTCTCTGTACCAGGTAGTATTTCTGGGAGGTGGGGGGAGGGCTCAGTAAACAGCACCCCTCTCTCTTACTTGTCTGGACCAACTGAGAAATAAGAGTGTCAGCATAAAGTGGCAGGAACATCACTTTCATTTCTGGTAAGGCTGACGAAACACATGGCTTATACAATATTCATGGGCGAGCAGAATTCCTGTTACTGAACCTCAGATTAAGACTTGCCCATCCAGTTACAGAAAATACCAGTCACCCCGACCTCCTCACCTGGCACCGGTCCTTATGGAACAGAATGAGTGTTTCTAGCTGGAAGTTTTCAGCCAAGATAAAGAAGAGAGGATGGGGCCAGGCCGCTTTGTTCCTAGCTCACTAACCTATATAGTCACCTCTCCTTGTCCGGGAAAGACCTAGAGTGTGTTACATCGTGGAGGAGATTTCTCCACGTGGAAGAAATCATCAAGTGGGGAGAAGAGGTGTTCCCCCCAACCAGAAGCCACATGGTTTATCTTATTGGATTCCTCCAACAAAACTATCAATATTCAATATTTCCTGGGTGTTTACTATGTACCATTCACTGTTTTAGGTGCATACAGAGCTAACTAACTAAGATGAGGGGGGTTTATATTGGGCCTGTCCTTACATAGCCCATCTCACTTGCCCCATTCAATCCCAGCCATCTTGGATCCAGTCTTTATTTAAACATTTGTTTTGTTAATCAGATTTGTTTTTTGCATGAATGTTTACAAATTTTGAATTTTTAAAAATAATGCATTAAAATATTATTCATCTTGGGTGCCTGGGTGGCTTAGTGGGTTAAGCATCCGACCTCAGCTCAGGTCGTGATCTCGTGGTCAGTGAGTTCCAGCCCCACATCAGGCTCTGTGCTGACAGCTCAGAGCCTGGAGCCTACTTCAGATTCTGTGTCTCCCTCTCTCTCTCTCTCTGCCCCTCCCTGCTCGCCCTCTGTCTCTCAGAAATAAACATTAAAAAAAATTTTAAAAAAGATTATTCATCTTGAATACTGAGCTTTCTGGCTCCCCTTAAATTTTGCACCTGAAATGAACACCTCACCTGCCTCACCCTAGTCCCAGTCCTGAATTGAAAATAAATGGTGTAAAAAAAAAAAAGTAGTAAAGAACTTTTTCTTAATTAAACAAATATTAGATAAATTGTCAGATAGTGATGTGTACTAAGTTGAGAAGCAGGCTGTGTATAGGAAGTGATTACATAGGTAAGTTGAATTATCTGGGGAGACCTATTTAAAGGGATGATATTTAAGCTGAGATCTGAATGCCAAGAAGAAGCCAGCAATGCAACATGCTGGAGAAAAGCTTCTGAAAAGGCCTCAAGGTGGAACTGAACCTGGACTTTTCAAGGAACACACACACAAGGCTACTGTGGCTTAAATGTCAAGGTCATGATAGGCGGGTAGTACAATTGACCCTTGAAAAAGGGGTTAGGGGCACAGATCCCCTCCCAGTCAAAAATTCACATGTAACTTTAGATTTCCTGAAAACCCAAAACTTAACTACTAATAGCCTACTATTAGCCAGAAGCCTTATCTATATAAAATAAATAGTAGATTAGCACATATTTTGTATATGTATTATATACTGTATTCTTACAATGATACCTAATTTTTTTTTTACTCATTTTTTTTTTTGTATTTCTAGGCTATGCAGCTCATCTTCAAGCTTTTTCAAATCGTCACAAATCTCCCCAAAAATTTCCACTGTATTTATTGAAAAAAATCTGCATATTAGTGGACCCACACAGTGCAAACTTGTGTTATTCAAGGGTCAACTGTGCTTGCCTTGGATAGTATATCAGGGAGGGTTTAAATTTTAGGACTTTGTAATTTTATTCTGAGGGCATAGGAAGCAACTGGAGGCTTTAAAGCAGGAGAGCAACCTGATCTGATTGCTTTTAGATAATCCTCTTTGGCTGTCATGTCAAGGATGGATTACAAGGGTGTAGATGGCAAAAGAGTAGCATCAGGGGACCTGTCAGTGTTCCTAGTAAAAGTTGACAGTGCCTTGGACTAGGGTGACTATAGTGAAGATGGAGAAAGGGGAGCAGGTTCCAGGAATATTTTATTTTATTTTTTTAATTTTTTTTAACATTTTATTTATTTTTGAGACAGGGAGAGACAGAGCATGAACAGGGAGGGTCAGAGAGAGGGAGACACAGAATCTGAAACAGGCTCCAGGCTCTGAGCTGTCAGCACTGAGCCCAACGTGGGGCTCGAACTCACGGACCGCGAGATCATGACCTGAGCCGAAGTCGGCCGCTTAACCGACTGAACCACCCAGGCACCCCAGGAATATTTTAGAAATAGAGTGGGGACACCTGGGTGGCTCAGTTGGTTGGGTATCCAATTCGTGGTTTCAGCTCAAGGCATAATCTCACAGTTCGTGAGTTCAAGCCCTGCATAGGGCTCTGCGTTGACAGTACAGAGCCTGCTTGGGATTCTCTCTCTCTCTCTCTCTCTCTCTAAAAAATAATAAATAAAAAAAAATTATATATAAGAAAAGAAATAGAGTGGATTGGACCTGATGAGTTAATATGGGGGATGAGGAAGTGAGGAAATGGGTGATTTCAGGTGGCTTAATTTGAGCAATTTGGTGGTGCCATTTACTGAAATGGGAAAGACTGGAGGACGAGCAAGTTAGGACGTGAATATGCAATCACATTTTCAATTTGGGGTATGTTGGGTTTGAAATGCCTATCCGATACATGTTAAGTAAGCAACTGGTATGAATTGAAGGAGCAGGAGGGGGGACAGGGCTGAAGATAGAGAATTGGGCGTCCATCACTGCCTTGATAGAATTTCCAGCATGGTAGAGTGCACATGGAGAAGAGCTGGAGGCTGGTGATGGAGACTTGGGAGCAACTGTCGAAATAAGACTGGACAGGAAGGGAGAATAGAAGTATGATGTCCCTGAAGGCAAGAGAAGAATGTGTCTTAAAAATGGTATAAGGTATTGCTTTGAGGGTCACTGAAAAGTCGAGAAAAAAAATCAGGGCAGATTCGTGATAAATAGCATTGACAACATGGAGCTCACCAGTGACCTGACAAAGGCGACCTCCTTTGGTGTGAAGGGCACAAAAGCCTCATGGAGGTTGAAGTGGAAAAGTGGTGATGTGGAAACAGTTGATTATCCTTCCCATTTTATGAATGAAGAAACCAAGGCTTAGAATGGTTAATTCTCTCATCCAAGGGCAAAGTCCCTGGGGTCAGTTCCCGGACCCAGGCGATGAAGGTTTGCTTCAGGGATGTGCACTCTGTGCAAGAAATTTATCCAATTCTCTTCCAAGTCGTAAAAACCAACGCTGCTCTCAAAGATGCCCTCAACTGAAAACATTCTTTCACGATGCCACTTGTGTTTTAGAGAAAAACGAGAGGGCCCGGCTCGGGCTGCAAAAAGACATCTTTTGCTCAGCTGCGAGGGAAGGCCCGCCCCCTTTCCGCAGCCCGAGGCCGGCGCGGCCCACTGCGGCTGCGCGGGCCTGGGCGCGGCGGGGGCAGGGCGGGAGCGCCCGAGAGCGGGGCGGGAACGCGGAAGGGGCTGCGGCGCCGGGCGCCGACCGAGTCGGGGGCGGGGCCGGGCGCGACTGTGCGGGGCGCGCGGGTGACAGGTGTGGGGACGGCCGAGCGGACCCTGGGTGGCAGCAGAGGCGGCGGCCTGAAGCCTGAGGGAGGGAGATACGGCGGCGGCGATGCTGGAGACACTGCGCGAGCGGCTGCTGAGCGTGCAGCAGGATTTCACCTCCGGGTGGGTATACGGCGGGAGACGAGAAGGAGCCGGGGGCCGGGCCGGGCCGGGGCCCCG